AAAAAAAAAAGAACCCACAGCTCATCAAATAAGCACAAGTACGAATGAATGCATTAACGAATAAATAAGTGAAAAGATGAATGAGTGAAAAGCTGCACTGGAGATTCCAGATAGAGGAACTAATCTAAAAACACATGAATCAGCGACTGACCGTATGAACAAACCACTAAAACATGAATCAGCTATGAAGTGGTGAATATGAGTGAATATCGTTCATAACCGCTGAGACGTTCTGAACGATGAAAACTCTTCCAGACACGTTTGGCTCGAGGCGGCGATGTTCGGCATCTCGTTGTGTGTGTGTGTGTGTTTGTGTGTGTGTGTGTGTGTGTGTGTGTGTGTGTGTGTGTGTGTGTGTGTGTGTGTGTGTGTGTGTGTGTGTTTTTGTGCGTCTTTGTTCGTGAGGTTGCCACGGCCAAATCCTGTCCTCACCGCAGAAAGCAAAGGATCAAAAGACAGGAAGGTCCTTTTTCTAAACTCTGAAAACCCCGAGCGAGTCCTTCAGACGCTTCCCTTTACGCTCCTCCAGGCCACTCATTCAGTGATGGCTGCCCAGTTGCCCCGGGCAACCAGATCTGGACCGGCGTCAATCATTTTGTTTGGTTTGATCCGACTGTTGGCATCGGGTTGTGCCGTTATTAGACGGATTCTCCGAGTCCCAAACACCGAGCGCGGACCTTGTAGGACATAAATCTGGAGGATCCAGTTTAATTATTGTCACGTTTTACATCTAATTATGAAAATCCAGGAAAAAAAGAACATGTGGCAGTTTTCCACATAAAAACAAAACAATGTTGGAAAACTGTGACGTCCTAAAAACTGTGAAATTACAGCAAATATCCAGAAAATAACGTGAATTTAGCAGATTTACAAACAGTTAAACTAATTTTAGGGTCATTATTGGATACATTTAGTAAAAAAAAAAACTACTTATTTGTAAATAAAAACATTTTTACGTTGGCATAATGAGCAGCTTTGGCCTTTTTTTTCAGTCACAAAGTAAAGTAATATACAGATTATTATAAATGATATTAATTTAAAAATATATCAATTTGATCATTCAAATATGGTAAAATAATACAATTTTACAGCCGTGTTGTAAAAGGGTATTTTTCTTTTTTCGGTCAACATGTAAATCAAATTAATATAAATATATATTTTTTTAAAATGTAAAATAATATCAAATAATTTGTATATTAGTTTGATAATTTAAATATGGTAAAATAATGTAGTTTAACAGTCAAGTGCCATGAAAGAACATTTTTTCTTATTTTTAACAGTCAACATATAAATTAACACATTTCTCTTGGATTTTACTCGACATTATCTGTAATTTATAAAACAGGAAAAATTTGTAAAATATCTGTTTTTAAAAAGTGTTTTCCTTTTTTTTTTTCAACCCTTAAAATACAAAATTGTTCTTTCAAACAACAGCAAAACTGTGCAAAATAGTGATTTGTTGCCGATTTAAATGAAGTAAAATAAATACAATTAAAAAGTGTAATTTTACATCGGCACAAAATTAGAATTTTTAAAAATACAGATGTTTGATGTGGACATGATGTGAAGTTTAGCCTGGGTTTCTTGTTTTTGTTTGTTTGTTTGTTCTTTTTGTCAAACTCAACATGTAAAATAACACTTTTTTTTTTCCTCCAGTCATTTTAATAGTTATTATCTGTAATTGAACCAAACTGGAGTAGTGAAGGTAACGTGTTATTTAGTGTAAACGTGCATCAACAGGACGGCTTCATTTGGTCTAAACAAAAGTTAAAAGGGTTCATCCACTGGGGACCATGAGCGGCTTCATAACCAGGTTGAGTCTGAACGGATCGACCGACATCAAAACTGACTTCACAAACTCCAAACCGGTTCAATAAATCTGCTTCTCATGGATTTTCCTCAGTTCCATACGTTCAGAATCACCTGCAGAACCTCTTGAGAGTAACTTTGATTCCTGGATTCGGCGAACGTTCGTCTTTGATAAGTTTTAATTAAACCAAAAAGAGACATAAATGGGGAGCGGATCAGACCGAACGCGTCCGGCAGCCTGAACCAAGTTTTATAATTCGCCGGTCATCAAACTACGAACATCAAGACGCTCTCCGTTTAATATTCCGCCGGCGGAATCAAACCCCAACATCTGTACGTCGTCTTAATTATCAGCGTGCAGCTCCTCACCGATGCATATGGTCGGCGGCAACCGAGTAGGAAGATTACAGCGCAGATCCAAACCGGAGTCCTCGCAACACCTGCCGCTACTGTCGTCCCCCCTTTGAAAACAATAATCCTTAAAGTTAAAATGAATAATTATTTGTGTTGTGAAGTTGGGGAATAACTTGTGGAAAACAAAAAAACAAAAAAAACAGGCAGCAGCTGTTGTTTATGGCGGCGACGAGGATGAGTGACACGCCGAGTGCTGCACGGTTTGACGGCGTGAACTTTAAAATGACGGCACATTAATATAATATATGCGCCGCCGAAAAGTTGGAGGAACTTTTTCTGCTCGTTTTGTTTTTGAATGCAAAAAATTACAAACGTGAGCAACAAATTGTGCAGCGAATGGAGTTTGCATCCGGTTTAAAGCAGATAAAATGGCAAATTAAATGGATTAAATGTATTATTACTAATGTGAAATATGGCAAAACGATCACTAAACACCAGACAAAGGCACCAGCGAGCAGCAAATAAAATGAACCATCTGAACCCCAAAAACCCTCCAGTGGGTTTTACCAGCAGTGTCTTCAAAATAAATCTACAAATGACACCAATTATCAGACACAGAAGCTGTAAGAACAAACTACTTAAATAATCGTGTTTAACTTTGGACTCTGTTGAGAAATTAAACAACATTTCAATAAATTTACGTGAAGTTTTAGTGTTTTGACAAAAAAAAAATCCAACTTTTTGCATGAAGCAGATTCTGTGAAAAAATAAAAATAAAAAGTTGCATATTTTATCTAAAAGTCAAAACGAACACAATGTGACCAACGATCACGTCACAAAAAGTCAGAGACCCTTCAGCTGAACTGCCGGCAGATGGAGGACAAGTTTGGAAGCAAATGAAAAACCCAAACAGCAAAATGCAGCCGTGATTCGATAATCCGACCCTTAACAATCCTAAACCTTGCTGTCCGACAGGTTTTTAGGAAAAACAAACGGAACCCATGAAATGGTAAATGATCTGCACTTATACAGCACTTTTCTACCTTAGCGGGACTCAAAGCGCTTTACAATGTTTCTCATTCACCCATTCATACACCAACGTCCACAGAGCTGCCATACAAGGTGCTGCCTTCCACTGGGAGCTACCTCAGGTTCAGTCGCTTGCCCAAGGACACTTCAGCTGTGGAGGGGATCGAACTGCCAACCTTGCAATTAGAGGACAACCCGCTCTATCACCTGAGCTACAGCTGCCCATAAAAACAGCCGTAACATAGCGACAGCCTCCGACGTGACATTTAATGTCATCAATCAGGATAATGGCGTTTTATCTGACTGAACAATCCCACAGATTGGCTACGTTCACACTGCAGGACTTGATGCTACATTCAGATTGTTTTTGTGAAATCCGACTTTCTGGGAGTTCGTTCACATTTCCAATTAAATATAGCTTGTATGTGATCTGCTGAGTGATGGTAACGGTGGAGCGTATCTGCCACTCCCCCGCCGCCACCGATGGTGGAAACAGAAGTGTGAGCGCTAACTAAACTAGCATCAGCAGCCAAGTACTGCCTGTGTGTTCCGGACACTTCCACCCCGTCAGAGCGCTGCCCCGGGGTGGAAGTGGACGTTCAAGCATCAAGCCCTCCTCGTATCTCGACCTCCGTCCTGACAATCCGACACAAAAGAAGGTTTTACATTTAGTGTCGGATTATCGAGTCACAACTGTCCATAATATAAGTAGAATCCCCGTTTAGTCTAAAATGTTTGACATGTTGATGGCGTTTTTTTTAATAAAATTGATGCCGTATTGACAGTTAATGGCATTAAAACGTTGTCACGCTCCACAAAAGACCTTTTTGAGGTCGTGGTTGTTCTGTTTCCATGGAGATGCAGTTGAACATGTGGCCACAGTGGGTACAAACGCCCAGAAATGCCCAGAAACTGCCTGAAGTTTAGACGGTCAATCAGACGTTAAGACTCTCTTGACATCATGACGTTGTTGTGTGTCGTCGATGTGCACGTTGACTACAGTTCGATGTTTATGTTTTATTTTTTGAACGTCAACAAAATAATGCAGCTTTAGGCATTAAAATATGTTACAGGTGCTAAAAGGACATAAAAAATCAATGGAAATACAGTAAACCCATAACTTTGAAGCAAATACAACAAAAAAGATGAATTCAGACGCATCTTGAATTTGAAGATGTATACCTACTTCCATCTCGTCAGATGTGATTCAGAGCGACTGGCTGATTCTATAAAAGCCACATTCAGGCAGGAAGTGTCAGTATTTGGACGTCAACACACTACTTTACCAACTTCTCGTACGTTCTCGTCTTTACAACACCTTCAATTCCAAAACTCACCAAAAAGCACCAACAATCTACAAGGTCGCTTTCCAGTCAAACCTAAACATCCGACAGAAATCCCCGTTTAGCCCGAACCTCGTCCACATATTCAGTAACGTCGCCCAACAGGAGCTAAAAACAAAAACTCTGTGACTTTAAGGCCACGCGAGTCATCCTCGGTAACTTTTAACAACCCACCGGTCGTCCAGGTTACATACTAATTCAGGAGCCACATGTTAGCGGAGAATGAAAAGCAGCTGTGACCCGAGTCCGCCTCCAGTCCGTCCTTGAGGATCGGATCAAGAAAAAAGCTCGGACAAGTTTCATCATCACGTCTGCAGGTTGTTGCGGTAAAGTCCAGTTCCAGATGTGAACGGTCGCATCGAACCCAGACGGAGTTAAGAGATCATTTCACAACAAAAACTCCAAAAACAAAAACCAAAGACAAACATCAGCCCAATAACAGAATGAGTGTAAAGCCAGACTGACCTGGTGGCAGTGTGGGTTGGACTCTCTGCCGTACGAGTACGAACTCCGGTCTGTTTTACCTGGAAGAAGAAGAGAAGAAGAGATGAGATGATTAGTACAAGAACCAAGCTTTGTCATAACAGAAATTTTAAAATCCATCGAGAAAAAAAAAAAAGCAGCAAAAACATGTTGAAAAAAACAAAACAAAACATGAAATATTGACTTCCAAAAACTGAAGCGAGCAGCAAATATCTGTAAAATAAATAAATGCAAAGAATACAAACAACAACCAGCGACTGACTTCATTCATTCATTCATTGCACTCATTTATTCATTCGTTACTTCATCACACTGATTACTGAAGATCCACTAAATATGAGGCCAAAAAATCAAAAGGACGATCCAATACCAACATTCACTCATTCATTCACTCTATTATATATAAAATAGGCAGGAACATAGACTATATAAACATCATTCATTCATTCACTTACTCATTCATTCTTGACCGAAACATGCAAACAACAAGCAAAATATTACGTTTAATCTAGTGTTGAAAATCAGGCTATACATAATGACAACCACAGACTATTCATTCATTCATTCATTCATTGATGCACTCATTCATTCATTCTTCACTTAATTACACTAATTACAAAGTGTAAAGTCAGATCTGCTGAACATGGTGCAGCATGAAATCAAAAAGACGGTCTCTTATTAACATGACTTAATTCCTCATTCATTCATTCATTCATTCATTCATTCATTCATTCATTCATTCGTTCATTCTGACCTATTGACACTGACTGCAAAAAGCTTTGTTTAATCCACTGCTGGTGGAAGTCATGGATACAACAGGTAGCAACACAGAACTTTAACTTCATTCATTCATTCATTCATTCATTCATTCATTTACAATCCAGCCCGTTAAGTCTCATTACCAAATACAGTTTTTATTTATTAAAAATCAAATGTAGTTCTTCTGACTGTTGATGACTGGATGAGTTGAAGTTCTCGACGCCGACATGAGGACGACCAGGACGTGAACGTTTCATTCATTCACTTTCATTCATTCACAAGTTGAGCTCAGGAGGCGGCGTGTGGAGCGGCGCTAGCTCTCCTGATCACAGCAGCGCTCTGAGCGTTGTGTATGTTGTTTTCTGCTCGCTGATCTCCCAGAACAACAAAACGGACATCTGCTCCGCCTGCAATGCACAGATCCACATACAGACAGAAAAGAGGCTTTACGCTCCCAAACCCAGCTTTGAAAGCAACACTTTCATTCTCCACTTCCTCTCCGGCGCCGACTCGACGTCTCTGCAGATAAAAGGAACCAAACACGAGAACCTACAGAAGCAACCGTCTCCAGGAGCCTGCCTCACAAACTCACGTCTTGTGCTGATGCGATATTAGACCACGTCAACTCTGAAGGTTTCCATTTACGGCTTCCTTCTGCTCGTACCTCCCTCCGTCCCCGTCGGACCAGCGCCGGTCCGCGGAGGCTCATTAGCGAACTCGCTAAGCGACCGCCGAGGAACCAGACAGACTCTGGCACCACGCAGCGCACCGAGCTCACGCCGAGAGTTCACGCGCCGCCACGCAGCGACTGACGGGGAGCAAAGTCGGAAATCAAGCCAAGGCAGTTTTCGCAAATTAACTAAACCGAACGCCGAAGCTTCTACCTGGAACACCTGAGACGCCGTCCAGAGAGAACCAAAGAAACCACCAACAACCACCAACAAACACCGCAGGAGGCGTCGACTAATGTCCTGCCGGCTACAGACCAGCAAGAAGAACGAGAGTTTAGAAGAAAATGCACCGTGGTGGCACGTTTTATGGATTTTCAGCTGAAACTTCTGAGCGTAAATGTCCGTTTTTAGGTCATTTATGAAGTTTATTGTGGTCGGTGAAGGCAACATGAACCCTCTGCCTCTATAAACCAACCATGACTGGAACTAAAAAGAACACACCATAAGAAAGTTAGGACGGAAATAGAAATAATTGATAACTCGCCACCATGAACAAAAAAACCCAAAACAGTTGACAACATATGTTTTATTTTCTATCTGCTCTGTGGAAACGCTGCAGTTCAGTTGAGACGCCTCTGAGTTGTTGTAACAGCTCGTCGTCACTTTTAGCCGAAATATTTGACATTATCCTGTTTTTTTTCTCCATACGTTTAAAGCAAATGTTCATATTTTTGTCAGATCTTTTCAATGAGACACGAAGAACGAAGGGATTTTAGTAAAACGTCACGATTTTCTGGCTTAGATTTGTTGGATTTCTTACTTTTTTAAAACGAGAATCGGAAGATAAAGTGGAAAATCCAGTTTTCAGTTTTCGTCTCTGGTGAATGGTCATTTCTCGATTTGTTTTAAAGTCTGGACTGAATATGTCCAACATCAGCGTCCACACGTGTTCCTCATGTTGGAGAAAAACTCCATATGTTAGAGACGTTTACATTCCTTAAACTCGGCGTTTTTCTTTCGACTCTAGAAAAGATCGTGTTGGACGCATCGTCAACAACTTGCTGACGACTTGAGTTTGATCATCGGTCAACCGGTTGATCGACGAGCTGCTGAATAAACAACATTGATGCTAGAAAGACGTTTCACCGTGTTGGATGTATCCTCCAACAACTTCCTCCTCTGTTGACTGTTTCTGAGCCGTGCTGCGTTTATGTATCGATCCAGTGGGTTTAACTTTCCTCTCCGGTCTGGCTGCACTCCATCCTAATCCACTGAAAACATGAATATTGGTTGCAGATTATTTTTGGCAAATTTCTGAAGGAGACGAATGTGTTTAATGAAACATCACAATTTTCAGGTTGAGATTTGGTCGTTTTTGTTGACGGAACCTCGATGTTACGCGTGAATAGTTCAATAATCTGAATATTTATAGTTTCTGGCTGATAAATGGTGCACTTTTTGCAACTTTTAAAACGCGAAACATGACTTTTAAACGTGCATACAGGGCATGTTTTGAGGGTTAAATGGATAAAAACCACAACCTGGTGACACCTCAACACGTTTCAGTATTTAATGAGGGATCCCACAACGTTATTGGAGCTGCTTTGCGACCGTCTCGGACTTTAGCTGTAGCTTGTCGAACTTGCGTAATTTTGCTATTTGTGTTTGACCGTAAGAAACTGCACCATGAGCTCCATCTAGTAACTACCTCCAGGTTTTCCTTCCTCAAATTTCTGAGATATTTTTTCTGGTGCACGAGCTGAGCATGCTCTCTTGACACAAGTGATTTTATACACACCCATATATATATAAATGTATGTATGTATATGTATGTATACTGTCGGTTCTGCTCTTCATGTGCACATTCCTGCAGCCCGAACCAACATCTGATTCGCATTTTATAGACGTGAGAAGAAGAAGAAGAAGAAGAAACACAAATAAAAGCGCCGCCCTCACCTCCCCGACAGTCTTTACGGAGCGTCTTTGGTCGGACGCGCTGAAACATGTGTTTGATTGAAATCAGACATGGCGGCTCTTTTAAACGCAGGCCAAGGTTTGATCAAGTACACGACAAGAAGGTGAAGCCACTTTGGCAGGTAACCGACCATCGTTTTAATACACACACACTAAACAAAACACACACACACACAGCGAGTGCGTCTGGCTGTGAAAGAGGTGTCTGATGAATTTTCGAAAAACCGCCGCTGCGTGGAGACAACAAAGCTAATTTCCTCTCCAGCTTCTGAAGCGGGCTTCCTCCCCGAGCCGCGGGACCACTCCGACGACTATTTTTACCACCACACACCTTCTTCTTGGTTTTTTTGTTTTTTGGTGGTGGAGGGGGGGATAAAACCTTAAATCTTCAGCCAGTCTAAATATCAAAAAACAACAACACACACACCACCAGCACGGTTAGCGTGTAATTACGTTGTGCCGTCGGTGCAGCGGATGAGACGGAAAAAGGGGGTTTTATAGCGGAGGGAAAATGAAGCGTGCACGGTGCGGTGAAGGGCTGGAATCAGGCGTGTATAGACCGGCGCTGAATGCACGCCAACATGGTAGTCGATGCAGAAGAGGTTGATAATTACAGGCGCGCAGAATAGGAATGTGGTCGGCTGTGTGTGTGTGTGTGTNGTGTGTGTGTGTGTGACCGATACAGCGGCCTCGGCTTCGGCTACGACTGATGCCAGCTGGACCGGTTTGGCAAGTATACAAAGACTCCCACACACACACACACACACACACACACACACACACAGTACTAGAAATCACGAGCACAGATGCACACACACACTTACCCCCGTGTACAACATACATGTATACATACACACATATATATATATATATAGAGCCCCTCGTATACACAGAAACACACACACATGCAAATGTACTTTTGCACGGTACCGGAATACATTCATGCACCGAAGCGTTTAAAAAAAAATAATTCGGGACCACACACACACACACACACACACACACACACACACACACACGTTGATGTATTTAGATTTGACACCTCTGCAAAGAAGGAAGGAAAAAAAAAAAAAAACCTCGTCCAAAAATCTTTCAACCGCTGCACAATTAAAATGCATAATATCCCGTGTAAATTCTAAAAAAAGAAAAAGGAAAAACAAACCCGGATACGAACAGGTGCGTAATTCACCAGGAGCTGTAATTTTTAGATACGTAAAACACACTTAAGGTGCAAAAAAAATGTAAATATTTTTGCTTATGTGGCATCAACCTTATTTAATTTATCTCCAAACAAACAGAAAGTAACGACAGCTAATCGATACGATGACTTTTATTGAGTAGTTTTCGCTCGATAATTGAATAATTAAAGAGTTTTATTTGTCGCATTCTTGTATATCATGTGCAGCGAAATGCAAAGTAAGGAGAAAATTAGCAAAAAGAGGTGGAGGTATTAATGCTAATGCTGCTCTATCTATATATATATACATATATATATATGTGTGTGTGTGTGTGTGTGTGTGTGTGTGTAATAAACTCGTTTAACTGGCACGAACAGAAAATCAAAGCCAGGCCCGTGTTGCGGCGTTTACATGCACGGCAGCGATCAATCACGCCGTGTGGATGCGGGACCTTAACGT